ATGCATTTAAGAAAAAGCTTTGGAAATTATCAGTTATATTGCATAGGCCAAAGAAAACACATACCTTAACATCCCGGTGTGCAATGTTGATAGAGTGTAAATACTGGATGGCTTCTCCAATACTTTTCATTATTTCAGAAGCCTCTGAAGAATGAGAGAGGGAGGGAGAGAGAGGGAGGGAGGGAGAAGGAGACCATTTTACTCAGTAGTTAAACAGGCAAAAAGCACCACATCTCAATGAAAGAGCACAAGGACATTGCATTACTGTATTAGGTTAAGATTCAGAACATAATTAAATGTAACATGGCTACATTTACATTTATGTTATATTTCTCTCTTCTCTTCCATAACATGGTTCTTCTGTCCTAATGTTATAAAACTGCTTGTTTCCTAACTGTTGTTCACATCTTAGGCTGGGATGGACAGAGGAATGTTCCTTACAATGTCAAATTTAACAGACTGGTTTAGATGATCTGAAATCAACTACAGGTTTACATCCTGCCCAAAATGCCATCTCATGGCTTACCTCTTCAATTCTATTTTAGGATACCAACCATGGCATTCAGGCTGGAAAACTACTGTATGTTCAGCACTTGTCCAGAATTACAATGATTTAATCGTTTTTTAAACCCTTGGCTTGAGATTGTTAAGCCAAAAATTCTCACATTCCATACATGAAGATGATGTTAAGGGAAATTTTGATGGACATTACTGGGGCAATGGACTGTAAAACAAAATTTCTCATAGCCAGCTTTTCAAATGACACGCTACTTGTGGGAGTTATAGAAATTATAATCCAGAACTTCTGGAGAGTGCTAGTTTAGGGAAGGGTGCTTAAGCTGTTCAAAGGACGAGCCCATTTCTGATTTTACCACTTGATCACTGACAATTGTTTTTCCTTCTGCCTGTTGTGGCAGCAGGGTCAGAGATTGCCTTGGAGGCTGATGGATACACTTTTCTTCCTTGATAATCTGTCATAATGTTATCCCAGGGCAGTGTTCCTCAACCTCACCACTTTTAAGATCCTGGGAGTTGATGTCCATCCATCTTACAGTTGCTGAGGCTAAGAAACACTGTTGCAGGGTATTCTGAAGCAGAAAGGGAAATAATGGCTGACCATCAGTCAGGACCTTAATTTATGGATGGAGTTAGCAAGCAGTTTTCAAGAATTCTGCAACAATGAGTGCAGCCACAGGTGGTGGTGGCCAGTTTAAAAAGTTAAATTAAAAAGACCTATACTGTTGCCACCAGGAAAGATAAGTAAGCATCCTTCAACCTTTCAAGAAATCTTGTTCACTTTTTAAAAAGTCACTAACATGGCTATCTGTAAATAGGAGGGCACAATTCAAGGCTAATGAAGAAGTTAGGTTAATATAGTTTTGTGAAGAAAGTTCTTTATTCGTTGGCAACACCAGCTTCAAACAACCAAATTGCAACCTCTACCTTGGGCATCACCAGAAAGACTACATCAAATATGCTACCTAACAGGAAATCTAGATACAGATTATGGAAAAGACCATGAATTACTGACATGGGTTAATTATTGATGTGGATAGATGTCCCAGCAAGATGTGACCTTGAGAACATACAGACTAATACTAATGTAAGAAGCAGGTACTTAACTAATATGAAAGAATATGTAAGGAAATATGAGAATATTTAAGAGATACAACACTGTAAAAAAACAAAACTGAAAAATATTCATAAGATTTCAAAGAGAAAATGATCCAAGTGGCTTTTAGAGCAAGGGATGAAGACAGAAGATTAAAGTCTGAAGCCACAGCAGCACATATTTGTAAGCAGACCTTTAACATCAAGCAAGAAAAGGCAAGCAAAAAAACCCACTTAAGAATGTCAAAAATATATTCTTCACAGGAAAATATGTATCTAAAGCAGGATTTTTCAAGAGTGATGATAGAGGAGAAGTCATAGAAAAAAGACTATAATGAAATGCTTTACAGACGGGATTATAGAATGACAAAAACATTTGTAGAGAGAGAAGATATTTAGGTACAGTCTTCACTAGAAAGTAACAGGCAATAGACTGTCAAATAGGAAAATACCAGGTGCAGATGAAACCTACAGGAAAAGTGAGAGTTAAAGTGCTAACAACTCTATGTCAACAAATATGGAACAGAATTGTGTGGCCTAGAAGTTGGAAAAAATCAGTGCAGATATATCTATACTAAAGAAAGCAGAAGCAAGAAAATCTTCGTGCAGATTACTGATTGCACTAATTCCTCATGCAAAAAACGCTTTCCTTAAGATATTATAAAGATTAAAAGTATACAAGAGAGACAAAAGTTTCACACAAGGTGGGGGGAAATATAGTTAAAATAAAATTGATAATGAAGAACAAATGGAGATCTCCTTTTTCTTTAATGATAGAGCAATGCCTCTGACTGTTGATCAAGCCAGAATGTAGAATATATTAAAGCTACTAGGTGCGTCCAAACACCTGATTATTACAATGAATGGAAAGCTGATGCAGGAACTGAATCTGGAGAAACAGAGTAATTCACAGTAAAAAGGATATGAGACAAGGATATATATTATCAGCATACATTTTTAACTTCTATAGTGAATATGTTATAGGAATAACAGTATTGGAAAGGGTAACTGCTGGAATCAAAACTGGAGACTGAAAGACTAACTATCCGAGATGTACAGATAATAGTGTAAAGTAACAAAACTGATTAATGTTAAATATTAAAAAGACAAAGATGTTGTCAACAGGCATGCTCAATGAACTTACAGTTGATGGTCAAGAAGTAGATAGTTTTGTTTTCTTGGGCTTAGATAAAGATGGACAGTGTGCTGGAGAAGTAAAGAGATCAGTCCTATGGAGGAGGGACACGATAAACAGTCAAAAAAATGTAGGATATGTCCATGATAATAAAGATCAGAATAGTTAAAGTAATGGTCTTTCCACAATGATAATGGAAAATCGGGACACTGAAAAAGAGCAAGGGAAAGAAGATAGACCAATTGTGGAATTGGGAAAGTTACTAAAGAGTGCCAGGGACAGAAGGAGTATCAATCATTCCACCTAGAACAATTATAGACTGACTACTTCTTTAAAAAGATGATCAGCAAGCAAAAACTCACATATTTTTGGCATGTCAGACTAGAAAAAGCAACTAGGTTGGCAAGGTTTAGGGAACTGGAAGAAAGGGAAAACTATGGATAAGGTGTAAAGACAGGATCAAAGAGATTGATGGAAAGTCATTGAAAAAGCTATGTGTTATCTCTGGAGACAAATCAAAATAGTGGACATTCATCTATCCAATCACCAGTGACTGGGTCTGATTCAGTGGCATTTGACTAACTAACTAACCATTGATGCATTTCAGAGATCAAGAAAAATAAAGAAGACAGTAGATTCAGTGACTCTGAAGTTTGTCCATGCTTGCTTTAAATAATTGTTTAGAAACCCCTTGGATGAATTAGGTTAGTTACATTTTGCAGGAAGTCTTTTTTTTTTCCCCAACAGTACTCTATGCTAAAGGGGAGCACAATGTGAACATCTGTAAAGCTTGAAGAAATCTATCACATCCCCTCATACCTCTTTCTGTGAAAGCTTGGTCTCCTCTATCTTGAATTCGACTGAAGAGTTCCCCACCATCCAAACTGAAATTCATAAACAAATTTAGTTACAATAACAATTGTTGTCTCAACCCAAAACTATGAACATACTTCCATCACCTCTAGGCCTCGAGCACTTGGGTCTTCAGAATATTGTCCCTTCTAAGTAAATTGAAGGTTAGATTGACTGAGTTCACACTATGCACTAAACTATGGTTTGTTTCAACCATACTGTATTGGACGTACTGTATGTGAGCTGACCTGCTCACATACAATGTGAACCATAAAACATACTTTACAAACTACAATGACTGGAATCAGGCATTCTTGCTAAGCAAAATCAAATGAAAAATCTTGTGGCTTAGTGCATAAATATGAGAACTCAGCCACTGCCTCAATATTCAGATAATTGTGTTCATCAGTTAAAGAAGAAACAACAGAGTTGTATATCAAGTTAAAGACTAACACATTATGCAGGTGTTTTAAGAGCTGATGCAGTCCACACACAAAAAAAATCACTATAATAAATATGGGGATGTGAGAGGTGTCTCAACAGTAAATGTGTCAATGAAATACTGTACGCACCAATTACAATTAATTTTAAATTACAGTAGATTTGTGATCGCCTCTGTGTTAGGACATTCAAACTTCAGAATAAGCTACATCAAGGCATGAATGTATATTCAGTAACTTTCCTAATCAAAGCATTTATAAATGCCAGTGTTTAAGGAAGGGATCAGTAATGCAGCAACTACAGGAACCAAGTCATCCTCTACTTCCCCAGATACCACCCACAGAATCCATCACTCTTCTCTCTCTCTCTATATATAAATCATTAAATTGAAAATATCTGAAGGAAATTTGGTATCTGCAGTAAATTACCCCAAAAGATAAACAAATTCCTAATTTCATTGTTTAAACTCCTGAGTGAAAAAAATTAAAGAAGATAAAGAAAGCAATGTATAGTTCTGTTTCAAACAACAAGCTTATATTAATCAACCATTTCATTAGCCTCTTGTGTAGATTCAACCTTTAGTCATAGGTTTTCCTTCACTCAGATGTTCTGACATCCAGAATTCTAGGAAGCTTTTATATGACTTGTCTCACGAACTTGCTTCCCATGAGAACCCACTAACAATATGTGAGGTCCATTTCATTCATTCATTCATTCATTCATTCATTCATTCATTCATTCATTCATTCATTCATTCATTCATTTTGTATGGCTACCCATCTTAACAAGTGACTCTAGGTGGCGAACAAAATTAAAGATAAAGTAAAAACAATTACAATACAAAAAATAAAATACATAGCAGCCAAGAATATATCATACACCATAATTGTTAAGATAACCAAGAAATGGGTTCCTGCCCACACTCAGGGCCTCAGGACCAGGCACAGAGCCAGATCTTTAAGGACTTACTTCCTCAATAAACCTGTCAAGAAAATTGCTTACCGCAGTAAGACCTACGCTGGGATGTAAATTTGGTACTTTTCTCTTTAGCCACCTAGGATTTAAAACCTCCAAATGAAAGAATGAGAAAGTTGCTAATTTTAAGCAGCTTTCTTTTAAATACTGCAGCTACTGGGAGGTCAGATGATCCAGTTACAAAGACAGATAGCGGCCAACAGCATCCAAATTTACCACAGGACCCCTGGCCGTAGAAATACTTTTAAAAGGCCAGCAGCAGAGTAGACTTCGGTATACAAGGTTGCTAAACTGGGGTAGAAACCTACACAAGTTAAATACTCTGACAGTGACCACATTCACAAAATAGCTAGCATAAGCAAATAATAGACAGAACTTCTATTGTATTAAACAATACTTTTCAATCAAGGCAGTTTATTTTTGACACAAGTCATTTACTCAATAATGTACTTCCAAGTGTAACACAGCCTTCAGGACATCCGTCTACATTAAGCTTTAAAAAAAAACGTTCACTGAAATGGATGGATACTTAAAAAAGTAATTGTCCTTCAAGAGAGATATCTGGGAAATTAGAGTGCTTGAAAAAGGGAAAGTAAATGCCTACTTCCCAACTGTGTTTTCCCACAAATGCCCTGCTCAGATGTGATTATTAGACTTTTTAAAAAGCCTACACATTTTGTTGGGCTTTTTTTAAAGTCAAACTGGTGTAGAAGGACAAGAAAAGTGATGAAGTGGGTCACAACTGCCCCCTGGACCAAGTGTTCCCCATTTGTGCTCTAGAGCAAAGATGGATATAGTTCATATAGCCCCATCTACAAAGTTTCCATATTTCAGTGATGCACTGATGTGAACCATTCCATTTGGGTGGAGGGAACTCTCTCTTCCTCTGCTGAAAAACTGGGCAGAAGCATTTCTCACCAAGTGAGAGGGAATGATTGTCAAAACTCTCCCTCTTCAGCCCACACCCGCTCCCACACTCTCTTGACCAAGCTTGTCTGCCTCACCCTGCTTTGCCCAACGACCAGCATGAGGTTAGGCAGAGAGGAAAAGGCACAGTCAAGACCCACAATCTGTGTAGATGTATGTAGGATGGGGTTAGCACTTTGCTGCAGCCAGCATGGGCAAGCAGAAATAGAAAGAAGAAAAATCTGCTGAACCACTCCACATCCTCTTACCACTGTCTTCCTCTTCCACATCTTACTATACGACCCATTCCCTCTTCCTCCTCCAGCTAGAGCAATTTTTCTCAACCTTAGTAACTTTAAGATATGCGGACTTCAGCTCCTAGAATTCTCCAGCATGGCTGGTAGGGAATTCTGGGAGTTGAAGTCCAGATATCTTAAAGTTGCTAAGGTTGAAAAACACTGAGCTAGAGGCTGCTTATATTGCTTAAACGGTAATATACTCAGTTTAGAATGTACTAAACATGTCCTGTTTCCAAAAATTAATTCTTACTACTGTTATATTTAAATCGTGATTAAAGCTGATTTAGAGTTACCCGTGAGTTTGAGGTGGTACTACCTTTAAAAACTGGCCAGAAAATTCAGCTGATCCAAAATGTTGCAAAAGTGCTAACTTGATCATTCTGCAATGAATATATTATCTGGCTCTTGAAAGATGGAATTTGACTTCTGGTATCTTTATCAGCCCAATTCAATGAGTCCACTTTGGCTATATAGTCCTGAGTGGGCAGGGCTAAAGAATGTGAAAAACCATATTCTTCCTATTGAGCTTTACTGTTCAAAACCCCTTATCTTAGATGCCCGGAGTTTTGGCATAAGGCAAATGGAATTAAAGATAAGAACGTCTCCATTGGAGGCCGTGCCTCTAGATTTCTGTCACCAAAGTGATCCACTGCTGGTATTTCAATAGTATAAAGCAAAACAATTTCATTTTTATAGACTTTTTGCTAATTCTCAGTTGTTCTGTTCTAATTTCTTTTGGATTAGAGATTTTCCCATCTTCCATTGCCTTTTTTTTTTTTTTTTGGTATGTTACAATCCATAAGTTTTACTGATTAAAAATTATTTTGTGGGGTTATTTTTATAAACAGTTATAAACAGTTATACAGTATATAAGCTTATATTTTTATAAGCTAACAGTTCTTTAAAAACTTTTTAAAAACTTTAAAAATGAGATGATTAAAGAAAAGTAACTAAGATATAAACGATTGCACTCTTCCTAGTCTCTTGAGTGTTGCCTTGAATAGCTTTCTAAATTGCTAAGTAGCAACAGTTTAAAATAATGTTTAGAAGTATGGAAAGCCATTCTTTCTCTAATGTCACAAATTAGCCAACTTGAAGCTCTTAAAATTTAAAACAGCTTATGCCATGCAAACAAGAAATACTAAGTCTGACATTCTTATGTTTGATGAAATAGCAACTCATAATAGTTGTATGTGCTAATAGACCCAATAGATCTAAATCAGAGTCAGGCAGCACAGGACAGAAGCATGTCTGGTGATGCAGTGACATCAGCATGTGGGGAGGGCCAAACAAATTCCGCTTGTTTTTAATTATTTTTCATGGGAGGATTGGGGAGTTTTAAGATTGAAAATGGATATATAATGCAGTGTAAGACAATAAACCTGTATAAATAGGCACGTGTTATTATGGTTACATATAGGTTTATAGTACTGAAGAACTTTTTTGCCCTATAGAAACACTGGGGTTTTTTGATGCATTTTTAAAAAAATTTTCCTGCATCAAATGGAGCAGGACTTCATGGCCAATATGGCCTCTACACGGGCAAAGTAAGATAAATTTCATGGCTCTCCATCCCACCCTCTCCCCCACCAATAAGGGACACTCACCATTCCATCACTATCAGGAGACATTTTCGACCCTGATAAAGGTTTTCATAGACATCCATGATCTTCACAATATGGGGGCACTGAGATGCTCTCCAGTGGAGTTCAACTTCCCTTCGAGCTTTTGGACAGTCTTGCAGCATCTAGAAAGGACAAGAGAAAATAAAGTGTTTTCTCCCTTTGATCTGGGAAGCATAATTAACAGCATCTTTGGTCAACATCCATCACTAACCGTGGGATACCGTAGGTCAGAATCTCAACTCCTTTACCAATCGGGATCTAGATTTGACATAGTCTAGCATAATAATGCATTCTTTAAAAAATGGATGATCTACTATTTTACATGTCTGCCATTTCTAAGCACTTCCTTTGCACTCCTGGAATGGATGGGGCCATTTTTTTTCAGCTTGTTCTTTGGTTTGGGGGTATTAAGGATTTTAAGGCTCTTCCCTAAATCCTCAGACTGGGTAGATATTTATCATTTTGTGGCAAGTTATATGGCACAATCAAAACCTCCAAAATCACCCTAAGGGCTTTACAGGAAAACTAAACTACGAAGCATCCTGAGCCCTTTAAAAAGGCCTCAGCACATAATAAAACAATCATGTGCACCCCCTAGTGGTGGACAAATATAAGCAATAGACTTTGGGTATGTTGTATTAGTGATAGAGTGGTTGTGTTAGACCTCGCAGTTGGCAGCAAAGAGAGTTTTCTCAGTCTCTTTGCTGCCATCTACTTTTGTCCGTATTTCTGCAGTTCAGATCTGGTAGCCATACCATTTGCATAATTAAAACATTAGAAAAAAAAATTCAGCTCAATTGAAATAAGTTCAGTCAGACATGAAAAGAGGCCAGATTCCTGCAGCTTTGTCATACAAATTAATCCTGCTGAAATTCCCTCTTCCGGAACACTGTTAATTCTCTCTTTTGCATTTGGCCATCCTAAGGGTAATTCCAAATCAGAGAGTCCTTCATGATTAGCTTAATTTGCACTAAGCACAGAGCAAACACATTAATGTGAGACTGCCTGCTTCATCCTCAATGACCAGAGGCTGCATGTCTTACACAGGGAGTTTTTGGCTCTTTCTGCATGAGAGCCTCTAAGAAGAAAAGGAGAATTATTGTTGCCTTTCATAATAATGCAATAATACAATATTAATTTAAAAAAAGCATGCACAGCCTTATATTATAATGAATATAATCAACAGACAGGAAATCACCACAATACAAGGCCAATTGTGCCACCTAGTGGCAGGGATTCATCCACATGTTAACTATCCCAAATTTTAACATAACTAGCATACTCCTCTTCAAAATGGTATGACTGAGGGGGTCCAGAATCTCCTAGCTTTCTATAATGGTATGTGGGAATGACACTGGTAGACAGGAGGAAGAGCTGCAGACTAGACAATCATCATGTAAATGGTATCTTAACCCACAGAAGAAAAGAGATGTGGGAAGCATCTCAGAAGGGACCCTCCCTAGTTTTCTGGAAAATAAAAGTAAAGGAGGTGAGAAATGCTTTCAGACTTGCAGAATTCTCTTACTGCAACCTTACAATAAGGGTAGTGTTAGTACTCATTGTTTGTGCTTCTTGTCTGGACTACCTCAAAGTGACTTCACTTCACACTTTCAGCATCTCTGACTGACATTCTGTTATTGCTATGAGAGGAGAATGATGTCTCTTTATATCTTACTTTCACAGCTAAATCATTCTATAAAACTGTAGCATATTCCTCACTGGTCACCCCATCCCTTCCCCAAATTATAACTTTTCCTCAAAGGGGAGTTCCTCTACCCCACTGAGATTTTTTTAGCTTATTTTATTGTTGGGATTGGCAGAGGATGATACTGTTGTTCTTGTTCTTGTTCTCTTTCTATCATTTTGAAGCCTGTCTGGCTTTACACACTTTCCAAACAGGAGAAAAAAAACCCACAGGAAGCTTGTCTCAGGTGGCCTTCATGTGGGATTGATGGAAGCATGAGAAGCCAGGAAGAGCAAAGACTACTGGAGAAATTATTCCACAATGAAAGATGACACACTCACATGTACCCTTGGCCACTTCATATGCAAGTGCACAAAGGCCACATTCCTTCTGTGGAAATTTCACTAGCAATTTCTTTTCATTTGGAAGAAATTTTGAAAGCAAGTTATTTCATCAAATTGAATAAGAATTGGTCATTTTTTTCCTGCCAAACACTAACAGAATACATCAAACTTCCCCAACTTGATGTCCTCTGCCCATGCTACCTGGGGATGATGAGAGTTGTAATCCAACACAACAGGGTGGCACCAGATGAGAAAAATTAAATACAGGTCTCTTTGTGACACAGACCTTTTCAGGTTATCCACGAGAAAAAGCCCACTGCTTGATACTAGACCACAGCTCTTCTTCTTTCCTAGGAAATGTTTGTCAACCCAGCAAATCCTGCCCCATTCATTTGTGTGCAGCTAACAATTGTCCCCTTTGGGAACATAAACAAAATGTGTTAATCATTGTATACTGTGCCAGCTTGTAAATACAAAACACTGAAGTGTCTAAATTTGAAACTTTGTTGTCTGTTTGATGGAGCCTAGATTAGATGCCAACTGTTTCCAGGCTCTCTAGCTATTTGGCCTTTTCCAGTTTTTTAGCAGAAATCCATGGAAAACCAAGGCAGGAGAGCACATCCCCCCTCCCCCCAAAACAATGCTCTACAAGCCAATAAATGTGCGTGTATCACTGGCTAAATCTAATGTTTTCCTGGATGATTGTTTTTAAGAGGAACATTCAATCATGTGATGGTTTCTCCTTCTGCATGGAATTTGTGTTACTTTGGGGCAGACAGTCTGTAGTTTAGTGGTACAGCACATGCCTGGCAAATAAAAACTACTGTGTTATACACTGCGACCTTAGAAAACCACAGCTTTGTAGACTTGGAAATATGGATCTGTGTCTAATTCACTGAAATTATAGGTGAACTATACATTTTTTTAGATTCTGATGTTAACAAGAAAAACCTTTCTAACAAAGATTAACAACATTAGAGAGAGAGAGAGAGAGAGAGAGAGAGAGAGAGAGAAGGCCCTACTCAGAGAAACAGATAGCCAGCATTGGACGTAGCTTCTCAGGTCACACATAGTCAGGGCTCAAAATAAGTCCTGTCTTTCAAGCAGACAACGTCAAAAGAACTATGTAATCTCAAACACAAAAGATTCAGAGAGCTGGCTTAACGATAACTAACATTTGTCACAAGCCCAATGGATGGTCAAAAATCTAGCAAAAAGTCTCCCCAATTTATGTCACTGAATACAGTGAGAATATTGCCACTTCACCTTCAAAGATGGGAAGCCCCGACAGCATATTACATGCAACATCTTTCCTTGGTCAAAGGCATTATCAGGGAATTTCATCTTCTCTAGCATTGGGCTTAAGTATTTACTGCTCATGTCAAGCTTTCCTGAGCCTTAGCCAGAAAACTGTCAAGGGGCGTTACAGTGTAAAGTTCAAGATACAACAAAGGTTTCCTTCTACGAAGGCAGCAAATGTGTTTCTGGCCAGTATCATTTCAGACTACAGGCTATCAGGGTTCACGGGATTGAAAGTTCCATTCCACAAAAAACATTCTCCATACCAAAAAAAAAAAAAACCTAGCATGTCAAAGAAAAGAGTACTAGCCAACCTAATCTTCCTGAAGGGATTTTTTTAAAAATGTAGACGCATTTAATCATTTAAATTCCCTCCTACATTCTGACATATTAAACTCCAGAGAAAAACAGGATAAAACCTTGTCATCCTCCTCAGGGTATATTCCAGTTTGTTGATCTCTATCTTAAACAATAACAACCAGATATCCAAGGTATGCAAATTACAACCATTCATGGTTGTATTTTGGAGGTAAATATTAAAAATATTTGTCGAAGGCTTTCACAGCCGGCATACGATGGCTGGTGTGGGTCTTCCGGGCTGTGTGGCCGTGTTCTGGCAGTTTTGTTTCCTAATGTTTCGCCAGCACCTGTGACCGGC